GGGGGAACTCCAGTTCATTTGGGGCTTGGAGTCACTGGGAATTAGAGAAATTTAATGTCAATTTAAATGTGAAAGCGTCAGTTACCTTAAAAACTAAAAAGAAGAGTAGGCTTACTGATTTGGCAGACAAATTCCAACACAAGTCCATATGGTATACAGTGGAGACATCAAATGTAATTCTGTTCGGGTTACTGTGTTGTTTTCCATTTCCATTTAAAATGTCAAAGCCACGTGTCAGGAAGAGTGGAGAGGAAACTCTGCTGTGGTCAGTAGGAGGGGCGGCCCAGGAGGAGGACCTGAGGAAAGAACAGAGAATGCGGTGTCATGGTGGTCTTTACAGAAAAGAGCCTCTGGAAGAATCATCTGTTAAGACGATTTAGTCCAAGACGTTCATGGTTGTGGGTGGCTATTATGTAGGTTTCAGGGGGTTACTTCGGAAACAAAGAAGAGAGGAGAGACAATATCACCTGAAACGCCCGAAAGACACCAGGCAGCCCAGGGGGGTTGCAGGTAGTGGGCTGAGATGTTTAAGGGTGTACTTATTGGACTTCGGATTCTTGGTTGCCTTGCCTTTTAAGCCGTTGCACGTGCTTGGTAGGGTCGCGGGACAGCATCCGAAAGACAGACAAAGTGGCTGCTGCTTTTGATAAGGGATATGTGAGGCTTGGCGGTTATGAAGACCTGCACTTCTGATTTTGGCTGGCACGCACTCAGGAAACATGGCTGTCGCGGCGCTTCCTGCTTGTCACTTGAGGCCGATGGGTAAAACAAAGGGACGGCTTAAAGAGAACACGAACGTTGAACCTTTTCGTTCTCAGGCAAGAAAAAACGATGTCACGGGGGCCAAACAGGCCTACAGCAGAAACCTGAGCATCCCTGCAGCTGACGCCTTGGCCTATGGAATGTTTAACTTAGCCACAAGATATGAAGGACTTTTTTGGTTTGATTTCTCACAGCTGCTCGTTTATCAAGCTGGGAGCCTAAGAAGGGGATATTTCACGCGGGCAAGTGCCTATTAGTTATTGGGGGGCGATTATTGAGACACGGTGTATATGTTGATTTTGGTTTAATTGTGTCCAAAAAAAGATGTTGGTTCAAGGAGATGTTCACTGGTGCAAGTCACACAAGAATTTAGTAGAGGAGAGTGCAACTTAATCTTTCTCTCGGTATAGAGCGTAACATAAATATATGTTTTATTTTTTTCAATTTGGATTAAACTTAAAATTTCTGGTGTTAGGTTTTTATTTCGAATCCATTTCAGGAACTTAGAAAACACTAGCTTTTCCGACTTGTTTCAACGGAGAGTGTTCGTGTTACAGAGTTCAATCAACTCATTTAAATTAAGTTTCTAAGGGAAACGGATGATTGAGCATATTGGCAGAGCTTCTCGGCTTGCATTGTTAAGAGCTAAAACTTTGTTCTTAAAGACCCCTTTTCAGGAATATTGAGAAGAGAATCCGGTATGATGAGGGGTAATAAGGGTCACTAAGGCCCTTCTTGATTTTAAGGGGTGCGAGAAAGAGCGTAAAAATAGGGTATGACAGTAGGGCCTATGTCTCAGGCATTTGGGGTTCACTTTTGTGAGAGGGAAAGAGGGGTTAAATGTAAAGTAAGATTTGGGTCTAATAGAACAATGGCCATAGAGTTGCTGGCCCCCTTAAGCATACACTGAATTTGTCAAAAAGTACCATATGTATGATTGTTAGTGAAAAAGAGTACGATAATGCAATGGACCAGAATTGGGTATAAAGTTCGTGTAGGGGGTGGAAGAACAGGGAGGATAGTAATCTGTCGGAAGAGGTGCAGTCGTACAGTCGACGTTGGCTTTAACACAAACTTCCTTGCAGTTACTGAGTCAACTTATTTGGGTTCATACTGAACAGTTTTCGAATGTAACGTATGAAATTTTATAATCACATCCTATTAAAATATGGTCCACTTAGTCTTATCTGTGGTGTGTCAGTTATATTTTGTCTGACATGTTATAAAAGGTCCTCTTTTAAAGAAAATCGTCTTGGCACCTGCTCTAAAACACTTTCACACAGCCTAAAAACCATCCAAATGTTGTCTTTGAAAAATTAGTTTAAACCCACCAAGCCCACACAGTGCCTCTTAGCTCGTATCAAACCTCCACAATATTCCTAATGGCCTATAATAGCTAGGGATAATGCTTTTTTCCAAAACTTCTTAAACTTCTGAAGTAAAACAAATTACCCAATGCTAAAATATAATTTCAAAATATTCTAGTTCATACGAATTTATTTAAGCTTGTAAAGAACACAGATTTAAGTTTTCAGTAAAAGCTATAAATTTTGAGTGTGACTGAGGGTACACTTAACTTTAACATAATCATGCAACCCAAACGTCGATCATACCTGGCTGTTAGCAAAGCAGGCACTTGTGACAACCTGGTTGGCTCTGCATATAGTTTTCTCCAACCATGTTAACACCCGTACTGGCTCTTTTGGTTGTTTCACCTGAACATACTGCAAGGGAACGTTCTCTTTATTGATCCCTATGAGGACAGACGCTTGGGCACCTTGGTCAGGCTCTTAGCACAGACTGACAATCACTTCCTTTAACAAGTACTCATAACAAAACCATATTATAATACGGCCTAGTAACACAAATTAGACACCAATCATAAATACATTACAATAAACAGAAAGAAAACACCAAGTTTGAGTTGCACAAGCAGCACAAGCCAGCATAAGCCAGCAGAGCAGCACTGCCACCCGGAAACACGTGGTCACGACTACAACACTTTAATCATAAACAAAGATAAAGCAATCCAAACTTCTACTATTAAACACCATGGCTTAAAATTGCTAAAGCTTTTTTCCAATCTCACTTCTTTTTTCCCTAAGAGCTGCGCTTCAATTTTCTTCATTTTCAGACTTTTGCTATCATCTTTTTTTCACCGGTGTCTCACTTTTAACCGGCTCCACGGCATGGCTGATTTAGTGGTTTGGATGTTGTTGTTTGTGGGTGTGTTTCATTCTCTTCCAAGCTGCTGAAGGTAACTACGAGCAGGCCACCGCTTGCAGCTCTGAGTGTTCTGAACATTCGCGCCTTGCCTCAAGCCACTGAGCATGACAATCTAATTCACTCTTGAAAATAAATGCTCATCTACTGACACGCTTCACAGCGGTCAAAGTCGGCAAAAGACCAATCTCCCGTAAATGGTGGTTTA